ATCAATAGCTAAAGACCTCCAAACTTTGTGTGGCCTTTAGATTAGCACAACAGTGTGTAGAGATCTTCATGGAATGGGTTTCTGTGACCCAGCACCTGCATCCAAGCCTTACATCACCAAGTGCAATGCAAAGCATCGGATGCCGTGGTGTAAAGCATGCTGCCACTGGATTCTAGAGCAGTGGAGACGTGTTATCTGGAGTAACAAATCCCGCTGCTCTGTCCAGCAAGCTGATGGATGTGTCTGGGTTTGGCAGATGCCAGGAGAACGGTACTTTCCTGACTGCGTTGTGCCAAGTGTAAAATTTGGTGGGGGGGGGGGGGGGGATTATGGTGTGGGGTTGTTTTTCAGAGTGCAGCTGAGCATGTGCAGAGCAGAGTTGAGACAGTGTTTTACCATATTTTAACCACTTGCCATATGGTCACAGATTTACTGTGAACAGGCAATAGCTGCTGGCTCAGCAACTTAAATAATTGCTGTTTGCTTCCTAGTTTGCCAGTGAAGGCCTGTAAGTGCTAGATTGCCATCCACACTAGCAAAATTTGCTGATCACTGACTTTGCTAGTATAGTGTCAGAGTTGTGTAAATTCCAGTATATATACCATTGTTTTGTAGACTCTATAAATTCCACACAAACCAGTTAATATATACGTATTGGAATTTTGTATTACCAAAGACATACATTTTGGGTTAAATTTATTAAGAAATTTGGATATTTTATAACCAAGTAGAAAATATTTTTTTAATTTTTGCTTTTTCGTTAAAATAATAAAAAAATTAAAACAAAACCCATTGGTGACCAAATATTACCAAAGGAAAGTTATATTTGTGAGAAAAAAATATAAATTTCATTTGAGTACAGTGTTGCATAACCAAGCAAGTGCCAGTTAAAGTAGTTCAATGCTGAGTTACAGAAAATGCCCTGGTCAAGAAGGGGGTAAAACCTTCTGGAGGTAAAGTAACAGTATAGGCACTTATTTTTAATGTTTTAAATAGCTATACCTGCAAAAGGGGCCAGCATGAGGTGATCTAGCAGAACTTAATTTTTTGACTAAAGGCTGGTACAAGCAATCATCTGTCCCATAGAAGTCTGTCGACTGGCTTTTATCAAATGGGCATGCTGGAATACCAGTATCCGATCAGGCTTGCAGCCAATGGCTGTGAGCGCTGATCAATGTGTTCTGGGGGGAGGGGCAGTCCTCCTGTTAGAACACAATAGCACATAGCCCAGCCTACTGGGTTAAACGAAATAAAAAAAGTTCCCTGTATGTACCACTTTAACCACTTGCCGCCCTGCCACTGTAGAGATAGGGCGGCACTGGCAGGCAAAAACACGGTTTAAAACGTGTGTTTTGTAAACGGGTAGGGGGCGCACCGCCGCGCTTGTCCCGCCGATCACATCCCGCGGATGTCAGTCGCCGGGTCACAGCCGGTCCTTACCGGCTATGACCCGGCGATCGGCGGCAATCAGTGACAGCACAGCTGCAGTAGCTGTGCTATCTGTCACTTCCCTGACAGCTCGAGAACACGCTGACCAGGACAGAAGAGTTTCCCTCTCCCGATCAACAGTGTTCCCTTCAGTACACACCCCCGCCCCCTACTAAAACACTCCCCCTCACTCAGATAACCCTTCCCTGCAAAAGAAAGTTAACCCCTTCCTCCCAGTGCCATTAGTACAGTGTCAGTGGTTTTTTTTTTGCACTGATCACTGTATTAGTGTCACTGGGGATGTCAGTGACCCCAAGTCAGTACCCCCCAATGTCAGAATGTCCGCTGCAGTCCCGCCATAAGTTGCTGATCGCCGCCATTATTAGTATAAAAAAAAACTAAAAATCCCAGTATCTTTCCCGCCATTTGTAAACGCTATAATTCACGTAAACCAATTAATTTTACACGTATTGGGGTTTTTTTTTTTTTAAGCAAAGACATGTCACAGAATGTATTTTGGTAGAAATTTATGACTACATTTGATTTTTACATTTTTTTTTAACTGGACGTGCTTTATAGCAAAAAGTCCAAAATATTGTGTCTTTTCCTCAATTGTCAGCCTTTTTTTTTTATAGTGCAAAAAATAACCGCACAGGCGATCAAATACCACAGAAAGAAAGCTCAATTTGTGGGGAAAAAGGATCTAAATTTCATTTATGTACTGTATTGCATGACCGCGCAATTGTCCGTTAAACTAGCACAGCGCTGTATAGCAAAAAAATGGCGTAAATTGCAGTATCTATACCAGCAATGGGCAAACTACGGCCCGGCGGACCTTTTAATCCGGCCCGCGGAGCGTGATACATTGGCTGTGTGTAGGCGGGGCAGTGTGACAAACGTGAGGGGAGCTAGGCTCCTCTCACAGTCCGCCCTGAAGACCGGAATGGCGCAGGAACACGGCGAGAGGAGCAAAGGTAAGTGAATTGACACAGGGGGGACTTGGCTTACTACTTGGGGGGGAATAGTACTATGGGGGATGAAATACTATATGAGGAATGAATTACTATGGGGGAATATTACTATACTTACTATGGATGACACATACACATCATTCATCTACTCTTGGTCCGGCCCCCGGGTCCAATATATGAACCCATTGCGGCCTTCAAGTCAAAAAGTTTGCCCACCCCTGATCTATACCATAGTTTGTAGATGCTATAACGTTCACAAAAAGCAATCAATATACACTTATTGGGATTTTTTTTTTTACCAAAAACACGTAGCAGAATACATTTTGGCCTAAATTTATAACCAACTTTGAGTTTACTATATATATTTTTTATAGCTGAAAGGCCTTTTTTTGTTTATAGTGTGAAAAATAAAAAGCGCACAGATGATCAAATACCACCGCAAGAAAGCTCTATTTGTGTGAAAAAAGGACGTAAATTTCGTTTGGGTGCAGCATTGCATGACCGCGCAATTATCAGTTGAATTAGTGCAGCGCCGAGTAGCAAAAAGAGGCCTGGTCATTAAGGGGGGTAAATCCTCTGGAGCTCAAGTGGTTAAGGCAGTAACCTGTTGCATCCAATCATAATTGATTAATATTATAGCTGTATAGTGAGATTCCTCGCAATTAGATATAACAAAGCGTTAAAGAAACAATGATAGAAAAGCAGATAAGGAACCGCTTACCTGCATATTATATAGCTCTTCTCCTCTGCTGGGTGTTCAGAACTGCAGCCTTTCCACTGACTACACTAATAAAGGCAGCAGCATTGGACAGTAAACAATTGTTACAATATGTTTATTTCACAACTGTAAAAGTAAGTGCTGCTTCTTTATCAAACTGTAGCACAAATGGCTTAAAAATGTACCTTTCTCCAAATGGATTACTGGCAGTGCTGCTGTTCAATCATATATTTTTTTTTTTTCTGATAGGTGACCTGAATGTGTTCTCTCTCTAGATTGCTATAATAGTATACTGTAGACCACAAAAATACAGTTGCAAAGACGGTCTGTTTTCCAGTATATATTTAGGCAAGAGCGCAAGAAACCAAAATGCTCTGAATACAGAAATCACTAACAGGCTTTGGGCACATGAGACATCCATAATCAAAGATGCTTAGTGGGAGACAGAAGGAGTCGGAAGCTTTTTTTTTTTTTTTTTTTGCGTGAAATGGCCTCTGTAATTACCAACTTTAAAATCAAATCTGTGCAAAGAACGAAACTTGCAGACTAACATAGAAAATAATTTTCTCACACAAGACAATATTGGCAAAGAATTCTAATTGCACATAAACTGCCATAATTCCTTAAGCAGTATTACAGACTTTGGGGTTCTTTCTGATAATGGTCCAAATAAAGAAAGATTTAAGGTAAGATGCTAACATCTACTCGGGGCTTGATCGGGTGCAACCTTCCAAGCTTAATTTCACTTTAAATAGTTTGTTTTGGGCCAAGCTGTCCCAATTGAGCTAATCCATTAGACCTTGTGATGTCATCTGGAGAGAGGGTCTCTCCACCTTGGCCAGTTAGAGTAAGCCTGATATTCATTGTAAAAATACATGACTTCTTCTAAATGGCAGAGAAGCATTCAGCCTACTCTCTTAAACCTGATCACTACCTTTAAAGTGCCCTTAAATAGTTTTTTTTTTGGACCAAACAAACTTTACTGCACTAACAGGTTGCGCTTGCTGGGCACTGAGTATACATACGCTATACAGCACTGTGTTTCTGCAGTAAAATGGGGACTTCCTGTCTCAGTCCTCAAAATAAAGTTGGGCTGACAGTACTCAGCTATTCACTGGAAGCTATGTATTCTATTAGTAAATCAAAAGCTTCCTCTGATTGGAGTTGGAGATTGTGACATCATCTGCCTGCCTCAGCCAATCAGAGGAAGCTTTGGCTTCATTCATAGAATACAAAGCTTCCGGTGAATGACAGACTTTAGACATTGTCAGATTTGGCTCTGAAGAAGAAGGGTTGTCTTGAAACGTGTAAGCCATATTGGATGCATAAGAGGTCTTCCTGGGTTATAGAATATGCGTTGCTGATGGGGAGACAGTCAGCTCTTGGTCCTTTAATATGCTTGTTCAGTCACAGTGTTTGTTCAGTCACATTGTGATTATAACATGTTTTTATTTATCAATAAAAGGTGTATTATGGTAATGTGCTAGACTGGTGCACCCTCTTTTTGTTATTTTGTAGTGCTGTATACTGTATGTGGCAAATTAGGTTTAATGTTGATAAATGTAAGGTTCTGCACTTGGGGGCTAAGAATATGCATGCATCATACATACTAGGGGGGTACAACTGGGGGAATCAATGGTGGAGGGGGATCTGGGAGTTCTGGTAGATCACAAGCTTAACTAGTTGCCGACCGCAGATAGCCGAATGACGGCTGCACTGCGGCCGGCCAGTTCTGAGTGGACGTCATATGACGTCCTCCCAGAACGCGCTCTCCTGCGCGCCCCAGGGGGCGCGCACCCGGCGATCTCCGTGATCGCTGTGTCCTACGGACACAGCTAATCACATGATGTGGTAAAAGGCCAATCACAGCGGCCTTTTACCACGTGATCAGCGGTGTCCAATGACACGCTGATCAGAGGGAAATGCAAGTGCCGGTTCTCGGCTGCACTTTCCTCACGCTGTCAGATCGTGAGGAAAGTACTGCCGAGAACCGGCAGTTGTCAGAGCGGGGATCGGCACCGATAATCAGTGCCCTGATGATCGGTGCCCTGATGATCGGTGCCCAGCAGTGCCACCCGCAAGTTCCGCCCACCTGTGCCCAGCAGTGCGCCCACTAGCTCCGCCCACCTGTTCCCAGCAGATCACCCACCTGTGCCCAGCAGTGCACCACCTGTGCCACTCTGCAGTGCCACCCACCTGTGCCCACCCACCTGTGCCCACCCACCAGTGCTGCCCACCAGTGCCACCCACCAGTGCAGCCCAGCAGTGCTACCAGTCAGTGCCGCCAGTCAGTGCCCAGCAGTGATGCCAGTCAGTGCCGTCTATCAGTACCCATCATCAGTGTCACCTATCAGTGCCGCCTATCCGTGACACCTCATTAGTGCTGTCTATCAGTGCCGCCTATCCGTGCCACCTCATTAGTACTGCCTATCAGTGCCCTTTAGTGCTGCCTCATCAACGCACATCAGTGAAGGAGAAAAATTACCTGTTTGAAAAATTTTATAATAGAAACAAAGAAACTTTTTTTTTTTTCTCAAATTTTTTGCACTTTATTTATTTATAGCGCAAAAAGTAAAGCGCCCAGTGGCGATTAAATACCACCAAAAGAAAGCTCTATTTGTGAGAAAAAAATGATCAAAATTTCATATGGGTACAATGTTGTATGACCGCGCAATTGTCAATCAAATGCGGCAGCGCTGAAAGCTGAAAATTGGCCTGGTAAATAAGGGGGTATAAGTGCCTGGTAGGCAAGTGGTTAATAATGGCATGCAATGCCAAGCTGCGGTTTCTAAAACGAGCAAAATCCTCTCTTGTATTAAAAGAGGTATAGACTCCAGAGAGAGAGATATCATATTACCCCTGTACAAATCATTAGTAATACCTCAGCTGGAATATGCAGTTCAGTTTTGGGCACCAATTCACAAAGAGAACTGGAGAAAGTACAGAGAAGGGCAACTAAACTGATAAGAAGCATGGAGGAGCTCAGCTATGAGGAAAGATTAGAGGAACTGAATTTATTCTCTCTTGAGAAGAGGAGATTAAGGGGGGATATGATCAACATGTATAAATACATCAGTGGTTCATTTAGTGAACTCGATGTAGAGCTATTGACCCTGAGGTCAACACAGAGGACAAGGGGGCACTCTCTACGTCTGGAGGAAAAGAAATATCTCCAAACATGGAAAGGTTTCTTCATAGTAAGAGCTGTGAAAATGTGGACAAGACTCCCTCAAGAGTTGGTTCTGGCCAGCTCAGTGGATTGCTTTAAAAAAGGCCTGGATTCTTTCTTGGATACACAGAATATAACTTGATACTAACATTTATAGGTAAATCCAGGGAATATCCAATTGCGTCTCGGATCAGGAAGGAATTTTTTTCCCTGCAAAAGCAAATTGGATCATGCTTTGCTGGGTTTTTTGCCTTCCTCTGGATCAATTGTGGGTACAGGATTATAACTTTTTTTTTTTTTTTTTAAATGGTTGAACTGGATGGACTTTTGTATTTTTTTCAGCAAGACTAACTATGTATGTAGCTGAGCTGTAAACAGTTCATAAAGCATTCCCAGCAAGTGCACTTGTTAGTGCTAGTATAGCCCATTACAGCACACAGAGTGGCCGCATTGCTCAGTAATAAAGATAGTTTGTATGGGTGAGCATTGTCCAAATATTGCTGACAACATAAGCAGTGAGCACGTACCTTATATTACAGGCTATGCCCTCCTGCACTTCCGACACTTCAATAAAAACTACTCCATTTTAGTGTACTCATACCCACCTTCCTCATCCTTCAATACAATAACTGTTAGTCCAACACCTATGACATTTTTGGTAAGGAACCTCCTCAACAATGAAAGTGAAAGAAATCCCTAGAGACCTTTCTGGACAATTTTGTCTCAAAGGGGAGAAAAAAATCCTTCTTAACTCCAAATATTTTTTATGGATATTTATATAGTTCCATCAATTTACGCAGCTCTTTACATATGTATTGCACATTCACATCAGTTCCTGCCTTCATAGAGCTCACAATCTAAGGTCCCTAATTCTCTTTCATACATAATAGTGACAATTTAGACAGGAGCCAGTTAACCTACCAGCATGTCATTGAAGTGTGGGAGGAAATGGGAGTACCCGGACGAAACCCACACAGACACAGGGAGAACATGAAAACTCCAGGCAGGTTGTGCCATGGCTGTGATTCGACCCTATGACCCTAGTGCTGCCAGGCAGAAGCGCTAACCACTATGGCTTTGATGATTTACACTCTGGATCCCATATACACAGCTGAACTGCACAGTGGTACAAAATATGTGGACATAGTACCAAGGGGCTTGGAAACAAAATTACGTAGAAAAGCATTTTCTTTTTTTTCTCCTGTAGTCTTGATATAATTTTCCATTGTGTTCTCTTGTTGATCTTTGTAAGCCATCTTCCATTTAGGTGCCAGTAATCTATGCATTCAGATGAGACAGAATAGAAACAAAATAACATAGAAAAGTCTTTTCTTCCATTCTGGTTTTTTTTTTTCCCTTGTAGACATGATATCATTTTCCATTGTGTTCGCTCGTTCACCTTTTTGTTCATCTTGTCCAACACATGCATTCAGATGGGGCAGAAAGATACAAAGGACTCTTGTGCCTATTTTAAGGTTGCTTGTACGCAGAGATTTACTGTATAGATATATACATTTATGAACTTCTTTAAATAAATAGAAAGGATGGATATGATGAGATAAGTAACCCAAGATAACAGAATAAAGTCTAACTACTCAGCAGTAGCTTTCAATCTGATGAAAAGTAGTTTAGATAAAAACACTTAGGGGTTCATTTACTAAAACTGGAGAGTGTAAAATATGGTGCAGCTCTGCATAGAAACCAATCAGCTTCCACTTTTTTTTTTTTTTTGTCAAAGCTTAATTGAACAAGCTGAAGTTAGAAGCTGATTGGCTACCATCAGATAGGCACCATATTTTGCACTCCCCAGTTTTAGTAAATCGACCCCTTTGTTTATAGCTTTTTAAGGGACAAAAATGAATTCTAGTTTTGGTTTGGAAGAGGGTAATCCCTTCTCTGTTTCCTAAAAGCCTAGGGCTTTGTCCACAGATGATGAATTTGGAAACTGTTTGAACCTTTGCATCTAGTAAGGGGCACCCTCAGCTATTGTCATTTGTCCTACATAAAGGGGTACACCTTCTTTATTGCTTTAAAGTAATGTATCAACAATCGGAGGGGACAGCAAAATACAATAAAAAATACACAAAAAGGAGTAGAAACATGTTTTAATTTTTCTTTGTATTTTTTTATTATTACTTTTAGTTGCATTAAAGGAGAAGTACAGCCAAAGCTCGTTTGGCTGTACTTCTCCTGTGGATCACAGCAGTACAGTTCATTCTGCACTCCTGTGACCCATTTTCACCCGACAGTGGGCCGAAGCCTGCTGTCGCCTGACATCACTCAGCTGGTCCAGGCTCGGGAAAGATCCTGACTTCAAAGTCAGTATCCATCTCAGAGTCTGGAGCGGCACTTGGCTCAGCCTCTCAGCAAGCCGCAGAGAGCCTAAGCCAGCCGCTCCCCCCCCCCCCCCCTCTCTCCATAGCCCAGCACTCCAGTGAGCACTTGGGGGGCTGAGCGGACAGTCCTGCTCTCTGCTTACAGCGGAAAGGGGAACTCAGAGATCAGAGTTTTTTTTAATGATTGCTGAGTTCTCACCCAGCAGGGGACCAAAACATAAATTTCATTTGGGTGTAGGGTTGCATGACTGCGCAATTGTCAGTTAAAGTAACGCAGCTCTGTAACGCAAAAAATGGCCTGGTCAGGAAGGGGGGTTTCACGTACCTGGTGGGGAAGCCTGACGTGAAGAGGAGGGCATCCTCTTACAACTCCCGCTCGGTGCCCCTGATAGAGCAAACAGAAGGCACAAAGCCAGGAGTGGCACGAGTGCTTGGCTGGTCTGCGATGATAGCTGACAGGTGGATAGCCCAGACAACCAGGATGCAGGTGTGCAGGAGCAGCAGCAGGAAGGTATAGCATTGACTTGACAACTGCAGACAGCTGGTAGCAAGTGATAGTCACAGGCAGGAGAAGTAGAAGAGTCAGACAAGCCGGGTCAGGATCAATTGGGCAGATCAGTTACAGGGAGCAGGCAAGTGGATAGTCAAAGGATAAGCTGGGTCGGTGCAGTCAGAGTTCAAACATAGTCAAGCCAGGTCAGGTAGGCAACAGGATCAGGCTACAATGGCATCAAGCAACAGAACATGGTAGACCAGAAGGCAAGGACTCTTAGTGCAGCAGAGGTTTAAATAGCTCGCCTGGCACCAGTTTGGCAGCAGGTGTGCATTCTGGGCATTTTGGAAGGTCTCCTGATGTTATCTTTAAAAAACTCTTCTAAATGCAAATGCGGTATACTAAACAGACGTTTTTTAACCTACATTTTTCCAGCAGTCAGTTTCCATTGTTCAGAAGTGTTTTCCAAATGTTCCATGTACATAGAGCCTTACTGTATATGCAGTCTGACTTCATCACAGCTATAAGAAGGGGAGGTTCAGTCGGGCTTTAAGGATTGCGTTGGGATATCTTCTTTTTTTACATTGAAACTATTCTGCAGTTTCAGATGGAACAAATATAATACAATATAATTGCCAAAATATAGTCACATTGTTATTTGCTACTTACAAATGTAATTAGCTTGGTTTGAGACACCTTATTTGAAAAGAGATGAAGCGTGTGTTGATGTGGGAAGGGTTCTGAAAAGAATAAAAAGAGTCTTGTTATGTAACTATAACATGGCCATACATGGTAAGGGAAATGAACATTAAAAAACGACTCCCTTTACTTGTCAGACCTGTTGTTCTGTGCTTGAATGGCATCAACACTTAACATGAAATTATATAGTATTATTACATATAATTAAACAGTAGGATCTGTAAATCTTTAACTCAATTAACCTATGCATATGCCATATATGTCCACTGCAAAGTTTAACTAATTTTGTCAAAGCTAATCTAACCCAAAAACAAAACTGTAATTTGCAACTTACCTGTGCTAAGATCAGCCTTTTTCAACCAGGGTGCCCACGCAAAATGCTTAACAATTGCCCAAAAACTTGTATACAAGCCAGCCTGCCTTTTCATTACACAAATCCACAGGTTTTCATTGTGCGCCATTACAACTTTCTTGACGCGGCAACATAACAACCAATGATGTCATTAATTGATAAGAAGGACATCGGGCATGGCACAGCATCCTTGCTTGCATCTCCCCTGCCCCGCTCCATCAGCACTGAGGTCAGATTTGCTGAGAGAGAGAGGAAATCAAGAGGAACAGATGAGAAGAGGAACAATCGAATACTATTCAATACCAGTGTGCAAAAGTGTATTTGCTTTGGAAGAATACATCACCTCTAATGTTGGGTGTACTACATGTACAGATGTTGCTGCGTTTTGTAAAACTATTAGTTTAGGTTTTTTTTACATTTTATAATGGGTACCTCAAAATTGTG